TCTCCAGGAAGGTTTTTTGAAATAGTGGCAGAAAAAACATGGGACATGGCTTTCTCATATCTGCTTCAGCTTCTGGTTTGTTGTAGTAGTATATTAAACATAGCACATATCTGAAAAACTCTAATATATATTCATGGGATTATTAGAGTGGAATAGGCAAATACATAAACTACAAAAATAGTTTGGGGCTCATGAACCTCTTGAAAGCATCTTTGGATTCCACAGGTGTCAACAGACCACAATTTGATAAGCCTTGGTCTAGAGCTGTGTTCTTCAAACTTTTAAGAAAGAAAGCTAAACCAGTAATATTTGGAACCTGTGTCCAAAATTTGAATCTAGCTATTTATTGATAATTTGTTACATGCATTAATTACTGGCAAATAATCATTGAATATAAAACATATAAAATTATTTATATAATAAGAGCTCACATTATGATAGGTTTTGCTTTAACATGTTAGAAAAATTTTAAGTTTCTGTCATATAAAGATCTGAAGTTTTGGTTCTAAATGCAGTTTGTTGTAATTATTAGAAAAATTATTTTTCTATTAATTATTTATTATACTCACCACATCTTTTTTTTAATTTTTCAAATCAATCTGAAGCCCATTATTTAATTATACAGTTTATTTTTGAAATTTGACTAGTAAATATATATCCTCCTTAACTTTAACAGTTTGTTTTTACAAATTTATTTGAGAAGGCTTTGTTTTTATACAAATGGGGTCAAAACTCTCTTCAACTCTTCATTTGGAAAAATTTAAAACCTGGGATGCCTGGGTGGCTCAGCAGTTGAGCATCTGCTTTTGGCTCAGGGTGTGATCCCGAAGTCTGGGGACTGAGTCCAACACTGGGCTCCCTGCATGGAGCCCTCTTCTCTCTCTGCCTGTGTCTCTGTGTCTCTCATGAATAAACAAATAAAATCTAAAAAAACTAAAAAATAAAAATTTAAAAATCTTAGAATATCCAATTTTCACATTTTAATATTGCATAGATATCAGTGTCTTACAGATGGTACATCTATATAAAACTCAGTAATGTGGGGCATCTGGGTAGCTCAGGTCATGATCTCAGAGTCCTGGGATTGAGCCCTGAGTCTGGCTCCCTGCTCAGTGGGGAGTTGGCTTCCCTCTCCCTCTCCCTCTCCCTCTCCCTCTCCCTCTCTCCCTCTTCCTCACCCTCTCTCTCCCTTCTGCTCGTTGTCTCTCTGTCTCAAATAAATAAATAAAATCTTAAAAAAAAAACAACTCAACAACTCAGTAACATGACAATGGAAACAATCTCAAATAATCATTTACAAAATGTTCCGTTCCTAACACAGCAGTGTGCCTGGCATGTTTTACACACCAAGTATTGAACAAATGAGACTTAAAAAACATATGAAATGGGCTTCATAATCAAACTGATCTTACGTAAAGAGATTTGCTAAAGACAGCTGGGTTCTCAGGACTGGTACAGCACTCCCTATGTCCAATTCCTGGTTGGACGTGAATTCTATGTGAATGACATCAGGCATCTGAGAAGCTTTCTTATGAAGGAAGCTACCAGAAACCAGACGCCTGGAAAACTCATAGAAGCACCACTTAAAATATGGGTGTGTTCCTCTGTGTTCTAGGAAAACGAGGGCAGACAGCCAGCTCTGTGCAGCTACCAGAATTCAGGTGTGTTTTGAATTATTTGGCCTATGAATTAAAGAGAAGCCAAATTTATTGAGGAGGAAGCAATCAACTGTGTCATGTGGAAGCTCAGCTTTAAATAGTGTGGGAAATATGCAGAGGGATTTAAAAAAAATAGAAAAAACAAATGGAAGAAAGTAGTGTCACTCCCTGGGGATAGTTACTACACACATATTTTTATCTTATAATCATCCATATGCAGAAATGACAGTGAAAATAAATAAATGTGAAAGCATATCATCTTTGCAAAAAGATTAAACTTCTTGAAGGAAGTACTTAGTGATCAAGGGGAGACTTCTGTTGCATTTTAAAAGATATTCTTTAAGAAAGATCATAAAGAATATATGACGGAACCAGAGAAAGATGACATCTCTGCGTCTTTCATGATAGCCTAGATTTAGATTTTTGCTATTTTAAAGAGACAGGATGGGATGAACAAGACCAGCAGCAGAATCCATGTTTCACAGGATGACAAATCTAGTGAGTCCAGTCATTCTAGAATTTTTCATTGGAATCCATATGACCAATATCTTCCATAGCCAGATGGGTGGCATCAGCCATATCTGTAGTCATGATACCCATGATAGCCAAAGCAGTAGCCACAGCTGTAGCCATGGCCAAGCCCACGAGAGCCACAGCCCCCATAGTAGTTGCTGTAGTAGGTCGTGGTATCAGGGTGAATGGTGCAGAAGAGGAAGATGACTGAATATCACTCCCTTCATAAGATCTATAATTCTTCAGTGTAGATGTGGCAAGTCACAGGTAATGTTGCCCTTATTAGAAGTTATTTCTCATTAACTAGAGCAACACCAACAGCAAAATTCTCACAAATCTCTCATTTCATTAGGTATTGTGAAGCCTTCATAGCCAAAACGACTCTGCGGTTGGGTCAATATTTTCACAGTCAAATCATGTGCATTGAACAACAGATATCTGACTTGATTTTCTCATTGAGGGCTCAAATTTCAATTCCATAATGAAATTCTATGAAATCACAAAAATTATGCAAACTGCAATTGATGCAAATTGTTTTGAGTGTATTAATAATCTCAAATTCATCTGCCCCTTGCAGTTGAAAAAGTTACTCTTGTTTAGCTTTGGAAAAATCAAAGTGCTAAAGGGTAAGTTTTATTTAAAGAATGGGATATCTGTTTCCTTTTAGATAAAACTCATTTTATCTTAAATACATAATTCAGGTAACATTTTTAAAAAGATTTTATTTATTTGAGAGAGAGAGGAGAGAAAAAGAGACAGAGAGAGCACGATTGGGTGGAGGGACAGAGGGAGAGGGAGGGGGAGAAACAGGTTCCCTGCTGAGCAGGGAGCCAGACATGGGACTGGCAGGACCCTGGGATTATTACCTGAGCTGAAGGCAGACATTTAACCAACTGAACTACCCAGGAGTCTCTTAGGCAACATTTTTATAAGATAAAACTTTACAGGTGTACAAATATGCTTTATTTTCATATTTTACCAAATTCTATCTTGAGTTACCATTTCCAGTAGATAAAACATTTATTCTTGTCCCTTCTGGGTAAATAACAAAATTCACTGACATTCTAGTCTGCAGAATGAAAGCTCAATTGAATTAAAAGTTTCACCAACTCCACCTTCTCCTGAGTGGACTCTAATGTGCAGACAGATGCTACTGATCAGAAGGGAGCACCTTCATCTGTCCTGCGCTGACACCTATGTTTACATGGCACATATTGCCATTTCCCATTGCCATTGGCCAAAAGCTCCTCTGGTCAATTCATTACCTGCTATTCAGTGCCGCATCTTTGTGGCTTTACAGCCAGGAATGTTTTTTATTGTGCTAGGGAGCATAATGAATCTGAACTCAAATCCAACTGGGTAGGCACCAGTTGTTATATTCTCTACTTGCTTGTGTTATATTTGTTCGGCACTCATGGGACTTGCTCCTTCTCAGGAAAATTAGAGAATGCTTTTTTCTACTTTTAGATACACAATCATAAGGTAGAGTCCTTTCCTTTGGCTGCAATGACCCAAGACCCCCAAATGAGGACTTAGCTGTGTCTGAGTTCTCTTGTTCAACTCATCCACTCTCCACTAAAGTTTATATTCAGGGATACAGAAGATGAAAGAAATAATAATAGCAAAGATTATTCTTCTACTTACCATGTGCCAGACACTGTTGGGCTTGACACGCACTAACTAATTTGACTCTCGAAATTATCTTGTGTTATTATTATTATTGTTATTACTGTCCCATTTGCAGATAGAGCAACCGAGGTACACCATTATAGTGGTCACAAAGCTATAAGTGATAGAAGTAAGATCTGAACCCAGAGAGCTGATCTCAGAATTGTATTCATATCTCTTATGCTCTACGGACTCCTATGAGGTCATCTTACAAAGAACATAAGATTAGAGGGCTATTTCACTTAATCCTCCAGTTAAGCTCTGAGCTTTATTATATTAAAAAAAACCTGACTATTAGTAATATATTTCTCATAGTCCAAGATGTTTTACCAAGACTACATTGTTTGTTGATGAAAATTTATTAGTGTCATGAAAGGTAACTCTGCTAGTATTATTTTAAATAAAGAAATGCCTATATTCATCTTTGAGCCAAAACACAAACATTACAAATATGTTTAAGTATAAAGAAAACTCATTCATGAAAATGCAATTTTATAAAGGAAATAAAATCTCATTTCTATTTCCTGGCTGTAGATTCAGGACATAAACTTGAAATCATGAAAAAAAAATTGACGTTTTAAAAGTAGAGTCATAAAAGGAAATATTAATATAAGTGAGAAAGAAAAGCCCAGTTTTTTCAGGCCTTGGTGTTCCAGAATTTTAAACTATTGGCTTTTCGTTAATAGTCTCATGAAGTTGAGTGATACCTTTTGGCTTTTCCTAGTGAGCTACTCCTCATGTGAAAATAAGGAAAATCCCTAAAAGAAAAAATGATTTGAAACAGAGAAGAAGAGATGGAGAATCTCAAATTAAGGCAGATTATTATGACCTGTTGAATGTCAGCCAAAAGAAGGCTGGTCGTTTGGTGGTTTGAGGTCAGAATGTCTAAAATGCTATTTCTTGTCGTAAAGACTGGTTACAAATTGCTAACTTGAAGATCTTGTATAAGTAGGGTTTCGAAGCTAGGACAACTGATTCTTATGAATGACTCACAGATGATTCAATGTGGCTAAACAATAGCAAATGTCCTCATTGCCCCCAAAGCCTTACCCTAAAACCAGGGGTCAACAAGTTACTCACAGAGGTCTTGCAAATTAACCAATGGGATGACTTGTGTGGTGGATCCCACCCACATGAGGATATATAAAAGGTCTCTGCAGGGGAATTGTACACAGTGAAGTGACACTTCTTCTCTCTTTCTCTACCTAAACACAACCTCAACAACCAACACCATGTGTGGCAGCTACTATGGAGGATGTGGCTATGGAGGCTGCGGCTATGGAGGCTGCGGCTATGGAGGCTGCGGCTATGGAGGTCTGGGCTGTGGCTATGGCTCCAGCTATGGCTGTGGCTTCCGCAGACTGGGCTGTGGCTATGGCTGTGGCTCTGGCTGTGGCTATGGATATCGCTCCCACTCTCTCTGTGGCTGTGGGTATGGATGTGGCTCTGGCTATGGCTCTGGCTTTGGCTGGTACTAATTGAGGTCACACTGGGAGACTCTCACCCTCCACACCTGGACATGGAATTTGCCAGTTTTGAGCTCCACATGCTCTGAGCCTTTGCCTTGGGTGATGATATCCTGCATGATCAAAGTAGTTCTGTCTGCTGTCACCTACAACCAAACCTACAGATTCCCTGAATTTGCTGCAGGAAGTGGGAGATGGTGAAATTCATCTGTGACCCCCACAGTTCTACTTTCATCAGGATGATGGTGTCAAGAGCAACTGCCTGGATGATATTCATGCTGGAGCTTGTTTTTGTGTTGACCTAATAAATTTGTCCAATCCAAATAGCAACCCTGGTTTTTATGTCAGTCATTTGGTGCCTAAGATGACTTACAGACTTTTTTTTCTGTTTTCAAGAAAGCTTATTTTTTCTTATTATTTTTATGACAGTTGTCTTAGAAAAAATTAGAAAAAAATTATTGACCTTGTTGTCTTAGAAAAAAATTATTTCTTGTAAACTTCAGTGTCCTCCTCCTCTGCTACTGAGGGAATAATGTTGTATGCTGGATAACTATTAACACTAAATCAAATATTACTTATATGTTAGGTTAAGCATGCCTGGCATATAGTACATAATAACAAAGAAATTAATTTCCCCAAACTTTCATATTCATGTTCTTTAAAATAAATGAACAATGTTGCTATATCCTTCTTTTCCTTTCATCTTCCATTTTAAAGGTATAATTTTAAAATAGGTATCCATTTGTTAAAGGTAAATATTTTAAAGGTATGAAAGACATAACCCAAGGAATGGTTTAATAATCCATTACATCCCAAGCTGGTAATAAATTATAAAACTGCCTGGCATGCATAGTGGACCATAATATTTAGATAACTCTATTTCAGATAGAGGCTGAGAAGTTTCAGATTCCAATTTAAGATGTTGGATGGGGCTCTGGTCATACCTGAGGCTTAGGTGAGGAAAGAGTCACTTGCAGACTCATGTTGCTGATGGCAGATCTCAGTTCATTGTACTTGTAGGAATGAAAGACTCATTTTCTTGCTGGTATTTGGCCAGACACCCTTGCAGGCTGGAAGTCACCCTCAGCTGCAAAAATTTGCCCAGAGTTCTTGGCTAAATTTCCAACGTGGTTGCTTTTTTTTTCTGAGCCATCAAGTAAGAAGAAAGATTCCAGTACAATGAATGCAAAGATCTTATGTGACATAATCACACACAGCCATTTACTTTTGCCATATTTCATTTGTTACAAAGCAGGACTAGGTCTCCCTCACACTCACAAGAAGGGGTCACACGTAGTAATTCGCATCAGGAGGAAGGAATCAAGGGGGTATATGGAGAGTAACACTACCACAGACTCAATGTAATTCATTCTTCATCATAGGAATTAGCAAACTGTCCATCATTTTCAGTGCTCTTCAACAACTTAGGTAGTGTTAGAAGAATCTTTGGTAGAATTCTGAGAGATCATCTGAATCTTGGCTTTTAGTGAATTATTTTGTTAATATATATATTTTTTTATTCCTTCCAAGGAAATCGGACTGTTTTTGATTTCTAAATTTAATGATATCAATTTTAGTAATATATATTTTCCTAGGAAATGTTTCCTAGGAAAATCTAAGTTTTCAAATTTTTATATACAGAGCTCTGAAAAGTTGTCTCATATGGTGTTTAAAATTTCTTCTGTTTTAATGTTCCTTCCTATTATTTATTTTTTATGTTATTTCTGTCTCTTTCTTTTTCTTCATCATGTTAGCAAGTTCTGTTAATTCTTTCATTTGGTTCATTATTTAAATTACCGTTTTTTCCTGATTCTCTGCCTCATTAATTTCTGCTTTACTATTTATTATTTCTATCTCTGTGCTTTCTTTGTTTTTAGAAGTTTCCTTTGTAAGTGTTATAAAAATAATATGATGAATATTAATTTATGTCCTTTCATTTTTACCAATGAAAGTGTTCATGCTATGAATTCTTCTCTGAAAACTGCTTAAATATTTCTTATAGACTCTGTTATGGGCTATTTTCATTATTATTAATTATTTTAAAATCTGTAATTTAATTTGTATGACCTCTCTCACCCCGAAATTTTTTAATGGGAGGTTTTTTATTTTCCAAAATAAAGAGTGTTTTTATTTTTGTTCTCTTCACTATTTGATTTTGTTTTTAAAGGGCTTTCTGTTCTTTGTTTTTGTTAGCAATTATTAGTTTGTTGTCTGACATCAGATAGTATATTTTTTACTAGTTTCACTTTATGAAACTTACTAATGCTTTCAGTGTAACAAAGTATATGATCAAATTTTGTGCATGTTCTGTGAAAGCTGAGAAGAAGGTTCATTCTCTATTACTAAGGTATAAAGGCTAACATATAACCATAAAAGCTACCTTATTGAGAATATTGTTAAATTGCTAATATCGCTACTCCATTTGTCTTGTTCTGAAAGAGCTGTTTTAACATTCCCTATTATTAGTGTGTTTCCATCTATGTCTTGGCTTCATATGTCTATATCTTCATAAAGAGGGTGTGTATTATTTGATGTATACATGATAAGTGTAAGATATCTATTTTTCCTCCAAGTTTTTAGTTAAATTCCATTTAGTTCACATACAGTGAACATACAGTGAATATTAGTTTCAAGTATAGAATTTAGTGATTCATCACTTACATACAACACTCAGTGCTCATCACAGTAAGTGCCCTCCTTAATCCCCATTATCTATTTAACCCATCCCTTCATCCACCACTCCTCCAGCAACCTTCTTTTTTTCTATAGTTAAGAATGTATTTTATGACTTGCCTTTATTTTTTTTGTTCATCTGTTTTTTTTCTTGTTTTTTTTTTTTTTAAGATTTTATTTATTTGAGATAGAGAGCACAAGCAGGATAGAAAGGCAGAAGGAGAGGGAGAAGCAGACTCCCTGCTGAGCAAGAAGCCCAACGTGGAACTTGATCCCAGGACCCCAGGACCTGAGCTAAAAGCAGACAATTAACCTACTGAGACACCTACACACCTCATCTGTTTTATTTCTTAAATTCCACCTATGAATGAAATCATGTTTTTTGTGTTTCTCTGACTGATTTATTTTGCTTAGCATTATATTCTCTAGCTCCATCCACTTCATTGCAAATGGCAAGATTTCATTCTTTTTTATAGCTGAGTATAGAAAACCCAGAAATGAACCTGCAACTCTATGGTCAACTAATTTTTGACAAAGCAGGAAAGAATATCCAATGGGAAAAAGACAGTCTCTTCTATTGAATAGGGGTGGGAAAACTGGACAGCCACAGGCAAAATAATGAAACTGGACCACTTTCTTACAACATACACACAAAAATAAATTCAGAATGGATAAAAGATCTAAATGTGAGACCAAAAATCACCAAAATCCTAGAGAACACAGGTAGTAACCTCTTTGACCTCAGCCACAGCAATGTCTCCAGAGGCAAGGGAAGCAAAAACAAAAATGAACTATTGGGACTTCATCAAGAAAAGTAGCTTCTGCACAGTGAAGGACAATCAACAAAACTAAAAGGCAACCTACAGGATGGGAGAAGGCATTGCAAATGACATCTTTGATAAAGGGTTAATACACAAAATCTATAAAGAACTTATCAAATTTGACACCCCCCCAAATGAATAATCCAGTTAAAAATGGGCAGAAGACATGAATAGACATTTTTCCAAAGAAGACATACTATGGCTAACAGACACATGAAAAGATGCTCAACATCACTCATCATAAGGGAAATACAAATGAGAATTACATGAGATATCACTTCACATCTGTCAGAATGACTAAAATTAACACAGGAAACAACAGATGTTGGCAAGGATGTAGAGAAAGGAAAACCTTCTTACACAGCTAGTGGGAATGCAAACTGGTGCAGTCCCTGGGCAAAACAGTATAGAGTTTCCTCAAAAAGTTAAAAATAGAACTACCTTTTGATCCAGCAATTGTACTATTAGGTATTTACCCAAAGAATACAAAAATACTGATTTGAAGGGACACATGTACCTGGATGCTTAAAGCAGCATTACCAACAATAACCAAATTATGGAAAAAAGCCCAAATATCCACTGACTAGTGGATGGATAAAGAAAATGTGGTATATATGAGTAAGATATTTCTTGTGATTTATTTAGAATTTACACGAGAAAGCTCTCTTCTTTGTCATAGTTAATGCTTTTTTTGGTCTGAATTCTGTTTGGTTAATATTAGAGTTTCTATGTTTTCTTGTGACATTTTGCCCAGATACCTTTGTATATGCCTTTGTTTTTGTTATTCTGAATCATTTTGTTTAAGTATATATATATAGCATATAGTGATGTCTTACTTTATGAGCCAAGTTTAAAATGTTTTCTTTAATAGATAAATGAAGCCAATTCATATGTATTGATAAGACTGATGTGTTTCAAAACTCAATACATTTTAATAAATTTTTATAATGGCATTTGGATGGTTTGTAGGTTTTCTAGTGGTTACTTAGGTATCTTTGTGTCTATAACAATTTTAAGGTACTAAGTTCTCTCTTCTTAGTCAAACTTTTATTATGTGATATACTAGTTATATTCATATTCTTAACTTCCACTGCTGTCTAAACAACAGAAGCTTAATTTATTTTTCTCTATTCCTCTTCTGCCACTCCCTTGTCTTTTAGTTTGTTTATCATTACTTTGTATCACAATATATTAGTGTATTATTAATCTTCAAATTAATCCCTGTGTTTGATTTGGTTATATATTACACTAAAAATATATCACTGCACACACATATATAGTCACATATATGTATGTATTTACACAAGACATATATATATATATATACACATGCATATCTATATATCTATTTGTCTCCAAATTTTGCTGCTCAGTATAGCCTTTTGGGTGCAGAATTTCTTAATTTCTTCTATGCTGAAAACTGTTTTTCTAATAAATTGTTACATGAAAGACAGCTTCATTAAATATAAAATCTTTTTTAAAAAATTTTATTTATTTATGATAGTCATCACAGAGTGAGAGAGAGGCAGAGACATAGGCAGAAGGAGAAGCAGGCTCCATGCAGGGAGCCTGATGTGGGATTCGATCCTGGGTCTCCAGGATTGCGCCCTGGACCAAAGGCAGGTGCTAAACCGCTGTGCCACCCAGGGATCCCAAATATAAAGTCTTAATGCTTGCTTTTATTAGGTTTTAAATGCTCTCTCTTCTGTCTTTGAATGTTATCTTTTGAAAATTCTGATTAATAGTCTCATTTTTTATCCTTTGTAAATGATTTGATTATAATATATATCTTATAATTAACAGTTTTAGATTAACATTCTATTACCATTAGGACCT